TTTAAGGTGTTACATATTGTGTGGCAAAAATAGAAACTTTATTAACTACTATGGAGAATAGGTTAGAAAGATAGAAACAAGAAGAACAAGAATCCTTGAATATGCAAGCAAATTATGCTCAATTTCAATGAGGCTTTCAAGGAAGAGGACAGGGTATTTTAGAGGCTGAGGTCAACAAAATAATAAAGGAAGAAACAAAGGATATTTTATAGGTGGCAGAAATTTTGGAAGAGGACCTGGCCATAGCTTTGACAAGCAAAACAACTATAATAGACCAATGTGTCAAGTATGCAATAAACTAGGTCATATAGCCTTGAACTGCTCTCACAAATTTAATCCCCAATGTCAAGACAATAGTGCTCAGCATGTCTCCAACAATTCAGAAACTCAGCAAAAAGCAATGGTTACTGAAGCAAATCTTGATGATCAATCCAGTATCTCAACCCTTATGGTAGTTTCTGATACCTTTTATGATTTAGCTTGGTACCCTGATACAGGAGCTACTAATCACATCACAGCTAATGCATTAAACATGGAGATTTTGCATCCATTCAACATATAGGTCATTCCTATCTTTACTCTTCTAACTCAAATAAACCTTTTTTCTTGAAAAATTTGTTACATGGTCCTTTAATATTTAAGAACTTGATCAACGTATCTCAATTTTGTAGAGATAACAATGTGAAATTTGAATTTACTGCTAATAATTGTTATGTCAAATCTTAGTAAACTAAGCACACACTTTTGGAAGGACACTTCACAAAAGAACTCTATATTTTTTATAACATTTTTGCAGAACCCTCAATTTGTAATTTTGTTACTACAGAAAACACTAATAATATTCATGATTTATCTAGTAATAATTGTGATTTGTATAGAATATGGCATGCAAAACTAGGACATGCAAACTACAAAATTGTACATGATGTTATGAGTAAATGTGGAGTTTCTGTTTCTAAAAATTTTACCTTTTCTTTATGCAAATCATGCTATTTAGGAAAGTTACATAAGCAACCACTTTATTATTCAAATACTGTCTATAGTAGTCCTCTACTGCTTGTTCTTTCTTCATCTGATAGCAAGTACTACATATAGTTTATTGATGCTTTTTCAAAATTCACATGAATTTATTTGATTTCTAATAAAAGCAAAGCACTGCAATGCTTCATTCATTTTAAAAACATGATTGAAAATCAACTGAATTCCAAAATCAAGTGCATACAAACTGATGGAACAAATGAATACTTGGCTTTTTCAAAATACATAAATAATCATGACATTTTGCATAGAATAAGTTGCCTATATACACATGAGTAGAATGGAAGTGCAAAAAGAAAGCATAGACATATCGTTGATATGGGATTGTCTCTTTTAACTTATGCATCTATGCCACTTAAGTTTTAGGGAGAAGCATTTCAAGCTACTATTTATATAATAAACAAACTTCCAACACCTACTTTGTAATTGATTTCACCAATTAAGAAACTTTTTTCTACAAAACCTAAATACAACAATCTTAAGGTGTTTAGATGTGCTTGTTACCCTTACTTAAGACCATATAATAAACATAAATTTAATTTTAGGTCTGAAGAATGCATATTCATTGGTTACAAACCTTCCAAATTACTTCCTTAGCATTCAAGTTGATCAACTTCCTAATGGAACTCTAATGCTGACTTAAACAAAGTATATCACTGATCTCTTAAAAAGGGCTAATATGCACATAGCTAAACCTATCAAAACGCCAATGGTTGCTAGTTTGAAACTCTAACCTTTGGAAGGAACAACTTATGATGAAGTAACTCAATACAGATCCATTGTGGGTAGTTTACAATACATCAAAATTACAAGACCAGGAATTGCTTTCTTAGTTAACAAAGTTTGTCAATTCATGTAAGTTTCTAGGGATACTCACTGGATGGCTGTCAAAAGAATCCTAAGATACCTAAGTGGATCTCTCAATACTGGTTTACATCTCACCAAGTCTCCTGATGTCACAATCAGAGGATTCTGTGATGCAGATTAAGGATCAGATATGGAAGATAGGAAGTCAACTACTGGTTATGTAATATATCTTGGAGCTAATACTATAAGATGGTCTTCTAAGAAATAACAAGCAGTCCCAAGTCTACAACTAAAACAAAATACAAAAGTATTGCTTCTATAGCTATAGAAATGGTATGGTTAAATAATCTTCTATATGAGATTCACATTCCTACCACAAGCAGATCCATAATATATTGTGACAACCTAAGTGTTGTTTTATTATCTGTCAATCCTATTTTACACTCAAAGACTTAAACATTTTGAGATAAACTTGTACTTTGTTAGAGATAAAGTTCAAAAGAAGCAATTGGCTGTCCAACATATTCCTTCATCAAAATAAACAACAGACATTCTCACTAAAGCCCTATCCTTTCCTACCTTCAATTATTGCAGAAACAAACTAAGCATTTGTATACATCTTACCCTAAGTTTGACGGAGGATATAAGAGATACTTAAAGAATTTTAGTTACGCAGCTTTATCTTTTATTAAATATAAGTTTGTTATTTGACAGCTCATGATAGTTATTTTTTGTTACATCCATAGGCTCTTAGTTTAGTCTTCTTTGTGTATATAAAGAGGTTGCCTTCTACCTGTTCTCTCTCTATATGTATGTGTATTCATTTTCATTCAATTCAATAATACAATTCAGTTTCTCCCTTTCTTTCATCTTCATCAACTCTCATAGTTGACTCAAATGGTGTTAGGAATGCTACCCACCCAGCCTGAGCCTAACCCCAAGGAACATGCCAAGGCTATTACTTTGAGAAATAGAAAGATGTTTCCTGAAAATGTGCCAAAGTCGCATAACAGTGCCATATGCATGTTCTTGCTGACAAAGTAGCACGCCAGTTCATAAGCACGGTCGTGCTCACCTCTATGCACAGCCATGCTAACATTGCAGAGACAAAATGGGGGAAGAAAAAAGAAGCAGACGCAATGCCTAGGTCTCAAGAACTTCAAATAATTTTTCTCAGAGGCTGAGAAGTAGTCAAAGGGACTCGCAGTTCAATAAATTCGTTGAAATCTTGAAGAAGTTGCACATTAACATACCCTTTGTGGAGGCCATCTCTCAAATACCTAAATATGCTAAGTTCCTCAAGGAAGTATTAAGCAACAAGAGGAGGTTAGAGGAATTTAAAATTATAAGGCTTAACGAGGAATGCTAAGCAATCCTTTTGAAAAAGCTACTTGCAAAACTCAAAGACCTAGGGAGTTTTACTATTCCTTGTACTATAGGTAGCTCTCATTTTGATAAAGCCCTATTTAATTTAGGGGCTAGCATAAATCTAATGTCTCTATGTTTTTAGAAGGTTAGGAATGAAAGAACCCAAACCTACCTTTATTTATTTGTAGTTAGCAGATAGATCCATCACTTACCCAAGGGGTATAGTAGAAGACGTCTTGGTAAAGGTCGACAAATTCATCTTCCTTGCAGATTTTTTTGTACTAGCCATGGAGAAAGATAATGAGGTTCCTATTATTCTGAGGAGACTATTCTTAGCCACAGGGAAGACCATTATAGAGGTTCAACAAGGGAAGCTTATATTAAGGCTAAACGATGAGAATTTTTTTTATTTTTTTTAAGTTTTTAATTCTCTTAAGCACCATCTAATTTTGACTCTTATAATTTTATCTCTGTGAATGACCCTTCTTATTATTTAGACTCTATGCAGTTAATAGATAGGTTAAGGGATGATGTTGTAGAAAAAATTCTCACATTTTGGGAGAGATGCTCTAATGAAAATAGAAGAAGTAATAGATGAGATCTTAGCTTTGGAGAGCAAGAATCAGAGCTGGTGGTTGGTACCTAGGCATTTTGAAAGCTTGGGAGCATGAGACATTCAAATTCCCAAACCATCCATTGTAGAACCTCTAGAATTAGAGCTCAAACCCCTTCCCTCTAATCTTAAATATATTTTTCTATCTCCTTCCTCTTCTCTTTATATAATAATTTCTTCTAAATTGATAGGTATTATAGAGGAGAAATTGATGAGTCTTTAGGGAGAATAAGGAGGCCTTTGGATGGAGCATTCATGACATCATGGGTCTTAGCCCTTCCATTTGTACCTATTAGATGCTGGTACTATTTTTCCTATTTCTGATAGTCTTTGGGTGAGCCCTATGTAGGTTGTACCCAAGAAAGGAGGAATAACAATGATGGAGAATGAGTAACAGGAACTTATTGCTATAAGAAAAGTAATTATGCATCGTATGTGCATAGACTACAAGAAGCTCAATAAGGCCACTCGAAAAGACCATTTCCCCCTTCTTTATTGATTAGATGTTAGAAAAATTACTGAGACGTGAATTTTATTGTTGTTTAGATGATTATTTGAGTTACATGCAAATACCTGTCGAATTTAGAGGACTAAAAGAAGACTACTTTTACATGCCCTTATGATACTTTTGCATATAAACAAATGTTGTTTGGTTTGTGTAATGCCCCTCGCGACATTTTAGAGATGCATGATGGTCTTATTTTCTGATTTATTAAAAAAATGTATTGAGATTTTTATGGATGATTTTTCTGTTTATGACAACACTTTTGATTATTGTTTGCATAGCTTTGATTTGGTTTTACAAAAATGTAAAAAGGCTAATTTGGTTTTAAATTGGAAAAAAATGTCAATTTATGGTTGATGAGTGCATTGTTTTGGGGCATAAAGTTTCTAGTAGGGATATATAGGTAGACCCTGCTAAGGTAGATGTTATTGTTAAACTTTCCTCTCCCAAATGTGTGAAATCTGTTAGGAGTTTCTTGGGGCATTTGGGGTTTTATAAGAGGCTTATTAAAGATTTTTGAAAAATAACAAAACCTCTTTCTGATTTATTGGCTAAGAGTACAGAGTTTAAGTTTGTGATGCTTGCTTATTTGCTTTTAATACCCTTGAAAGTAAGTTAATTAATGACCCTATTATTATCTCTCCTGATTGGTCTTTTCTCTTTGAGCTTATGTGTGATGCTAGTGATACAACTGCTAGAGTAGTTTTGGGCCAGTGGAAGGGCAAGATTTTTCAAACCATTTATTTTGCGAGTAGAACTTTGGATGGAGCACAGTGGAACTATGCCACCACTGAGAAGGAGATGCTAGCTGTGGTATTTGCATTTGAAAAATTGTCCTTATTTGATTATGTCTAAAGTCATTGTGTTTAATGACTATCATGCTCTTAGATATTTGATGGCTAAATAGGATGCTAAGCTAAGGATTATTTGATGGATTCTCTTGCTACAGGAGTTTGATATAGATATCTGAGATAAAAAAGGGCATGAGAACTTTGTTACTAACCACTTATCCAGATTACAGCCCTCGGTGAGGAAGAGCACCAAGTTAGAAATTAAAGAGACATTCTCTGATGAGAATTTTTTATGTTTCTAGGGCACCTTGGTATGCTGATATGGTGAATTTCTTGGCTAGTAATATCTTTCTCCATGGATGTTTAAAGTTTGTGGAGAAAATTTGATTAGGCGATGTGTTCCTGAGAGTGAATTTACCGCAGTTCTTGATTATTGTCACTCCAGAAAGGTAGGAGGCCACTTTGGCCCCACTAAAACTTCTCATATGGTTTTGTAAAGTAGTTTTTATTGGCCTACACTTTTTAAGGATGCTTATGGTTTTGTTAACTCATGTGATAAATATCAAAGAAGTGGTAATATTTCTAGAAGGCATGATATGCCCCTTAACAATATTTTGGTTTATGAAATATTTGATGTTTGGAGTATTAATTTTATGGGACCTTTTCCTAAGTCTTCTAATAATGAATACATATTGGTTGCTGTGGATTATGTCTCCATATGGGTGGGAGTGGCTGCTTTACCAACTAATGATGCTAAGGTTGTTACTAAATTTCTGTAGCAAAATATTTTTTCTCGATTTGGAACCCCTAGGGCAATTATCAGTGATGAGGGTACTCATTTTTGCAATAAACATTTTGATAATCTTTTGGCAAAATATGGTGTTACCCCCAAGGTCGCTACTTTCTTCCACCCCCAAACCAGTGGCCAAGTTGAGGTATCTAATAGGAAGTTGAAAAAGATTTTGGAGCACATAACTAATTTTAATTTACCTACAGGTAAGAAAAAACTATTAGAGCTGAATGAACTTAATGAGATGCACCTTACAACATACGAGAATGCCAAGTTGTATAAGGAACGCACCAAAAAGTGGCATGACAAGCATATTCTACATCATGAGTTCTATGAAAAAGAAAAAGTGTTGATCTACAACTCACGACTGCGACTATTACCTAGAAAGCTGAAGTTCCGGTGGAGTGGCCCTTATACAGTACTCAAGGTCCTCCCTTACGAGGTCCTAGAAGTTTCTAAAGCTGAGGGAAAGGCGTTTCAAGTCAATGGTCACAGGGCCAAGCTATACACATATGGAGTGACCTCCACCCAACAGGCTATGTTCTTACAATAGCCTAATAGGACGTCAGGCTCGTGACGTAAAAAAAGCATTTACAAGAGGCAACCTACGTTTTATTTTTCACTTTTATTTATTTTATGTTCTTGTTTTTCATAACAGGGTGGCTTTTCTGTGCAATTTTTCACACATTTAGGGGGTTCTTTTCCCTTTATTTCTTTTTTCCTTTTCATCTCTACTTTTTTTTCCCTCTAAACATTTAGAATAATGTTTTGCTTTAAGTATGATGGGGGAATTTCCATTATTACTTGTTTTATCACTTGCTCCCAAGTAATTTCCTGAACCTTTTTTCTGAGAAAAATTTGAACATTTTATCCCAAGGAACCCAATTTCTTTTGAAAATAATAAGAACATAATTGAGTAATTTCTATTGAGTTTTTGATTCATTAGGAAAAAAATTAATTTAGCTCTCTAACTTTTTGCTCTATATTAAACTTTAATCGACATATGTGAGTTTAGAGCGTTTATGAGGATTTGTCTTTCCTATATTAATTAATGACACCCTTGTCTTTGATTGCGTGATAATCCCCAGAGATTTATGCTCTAAAACTTGACTTGTAACTAATTTGAGACTATTCATTTTGATTACATGTTTTAAATATGATTGAGGCATATTAGGATTATTTTTCTTGGACTTCAGCATGTTTGAGAAAGATATACAACTAGTTGCCCACTTTAAACTCTATTGATTTTTCTTGGTCCTTTATATTAAAATTATGAAATATTTTGTTGACCTTGAGTTTGTAAATGGAGCAGTTAAGTTGCAAAGTGTGTGTAAGTTGCAAAAGAAAAAATAGTAAAAAGAAAAGAAAAAATGGTTACATGTGAATGAAAGAAAAGAGAAGTAAAGAGAGTAAAAATATAAAAACCATTACTCTATGAGCTTCATTTATAAACCTAGGGGATATTTGTGATTGTTTTAATTAAATTAACCCTTTGCGTATCCTTTTCCTTCATTTATCTCACCTTAATTGTTATAACCCTTTGACCACATTATAACCTGTAAAAGACCTCACGATTTTTAATTGCATTCAATTGACTTAGTGAAGAGTTGGTTTATAGTCAAACCTATGATAGTGCATTTCTTCCTAGAAGGACTAAGCGTTCTTTATTTTTGTCCTTATACACTGAAAGAGAAAGAGAGGAGTAGAGTATCATAGTTTGATGATTGAGCAAGAAGATAAAGAATATAAAATTTTAAATGTTTTTGATGACTTGGACTCAGTGATATTACTCTTGTGTTCTTTGTATCTCAATTATTTTGGGTTTCTTGGTTTGATTATATGTTTCAAATTTTTCCTTTATTCTTTAGCCAGGATTTTTGCTTGAGGGCAAGCAAATCTCAAGTATGAAGGGGTTGATAAGTTCATATTTTGATATATTTTATGATTTATATTTATACACTTAAACCCTATTTTATACACACACACACTAAGTATGCTATTAATTATTGCAGTTTAGTTGTAAGTTGTTGTTAGTGCATTATGGAGATATTCTGGATAAAAATTAGATAATTTTAGCCTTTAGCCGCGCTATATGAATCTGAATTTGAATTTAAATTTTAAACATAAATAAATATTTAGATATGAAGATTTGGAGCAATTTTCAATTGAGATTCTGAATGTGGATAAAATAGATTTGAAAAGATATAGCTCAATCAACCGAAAACTCAGGACACATCCTATATAAAGAGGCCTTATGCTCCATACTTCATACATTTTTTCCACTTCATTTGACACACCGTCTTCCCTTTCTTAATACTAACTCACTTCACCATTGAGAGTTATTGGAAATCATTGGTAAAGACGACGAACTCCTTCAGAGTCGGAGTGAGTGATTGAGCATCTCTTTGGAGAACGAGAACTCTTTTCATCTTTTTCCCTTTTAAGTTTCTCTTGTTTGAATTCTCCTTTATGTTTTATGGATTGGTTGATTATGTTTTTTGTTGTGTATTTCACTATGAGTAACAAAATCCATAGCGAGGGCTATGGGGGATCCTATGGCATACTTTATGTGATTTTACTTTTAATATTGGTATTGTTTTTCTTATATTGTTTGGCTTTTATCCTATTGAATATTGTGCATATTAAGAATTAATCACCCTTAGCATCTCATAATTAGTTGCATCATAGGCAACCATACCACGTGTAATTAATGGAACTATAAGATAAAACGAGACAAGGGCACACTTAATTCCTCTCTTTCAACCGTTATTGAATTAACAAACCCCTAGGGTCTTTATGCTTTCTCTACCATTTGCCTTGCATGATTATTGAGCATGATTGCTCGGTGTAACGCCCCGAATTTCATAATAGTATTTGATTATTAATATACTTATGAAATTCTCATTGAATGTGAATTTGATGTATATAATGACATGAATATATATATATGTGGATAAATATGTAAGTACAAATGTGAATGTTGATTATGGATTGAGATTGGATGTGTTTGGACTGATTGGAAATACAGACTAAGAGTTAACTGTAGGGACATTCTCGCTGTAGCAAGAAGGTTCTGGGTGAGTGACGTGCGTCTGTTGTATTCTTGTTGTAGTGAGAGGGCAACAAAGAGATGGTGTTTTCTGGATTCAGTCTCGCTGTAGCGAGATTCTGCAGAAAACAAGCTGCAGAATCCTTTGATATTTTCACTGTAATGAGAAGGGGTCTTGCTGTAGCGAGAATATCATGAATCTTAGGGTATTTGAGGGGTTTAGGGTTCAAGAAATTCATTTCCCACTTTTCCTCTCATTCCTTCTTTGATTCTCTTGACTTCAAACCCTTTTTCCACCAATTAAATGGCCTCCAAAGTTGTTTGTGGGCTAAATTGAAGATTGAAATCATGTTTAGAGTGTTTGGAGGTAAGTTTTGATAGCTAAGATTTCATTTTTCATCCCTTTATTCTTTTTCTTGCATCCTCATGGAATTTTTCCATGTGTTAAGGACAAAAATCCGTTTGGGAAGCATTTCCTTTGTTGATTTTGTGTTGGGTCTTCAATCCGAGGTAAAGGAGAGACTCTACCCTATAGGTGACTCTACCCAATCTCCTTGTGCTTAGAATTCATTCTTATTGCTATGTATTAGAATATGATTGAGATAGAATGTAGATGTGTATTTGGATGAAAATGACTTGATTAGAATAGGGTGTGATAGAAATTTTGTGTGGAACTTAGTGTGATTGATATTAAGAAATGTATGTGATGGATATTGAATGTTATGTGTGATGAAATGACTTTATTTGCAATAGGATGGTGATGGAATTTGTGTGCTTGAGTATAATGTGGTTGATATGTGTGAATATGCCATTGGGTGAGAATGAATACCATGATATGATTGAAAAATTTAGGTGAATATGTGTGAAACTGAGTAAGTCCTTGAGGTTAAGGGCATCATAAAACCGTGATCACAGTGCCACAGTGAGCGTGGCTATGAGCAGTGAGCGCACATGTGTGTAGATTGTTTGATGGTACAGTGAGCGCACTTATGTGTGAATTGGAGTAAAATGTGAAAAGTATTACTTTGTGTTTGTTGATGCATGATTTGAATTATGTTAATAAATGTGTGAAACGTGAAGGTGAGTCTCTGTGCTTGTGTGTGATAGTGTAGAGTATTCACCCTTATATTTATTTTTTAGGTGACTAAGACGATGAGCACCAGACTCAGTGAACGGGAGGGATAAAACTGCTATAGGACTTAAGAAATTATTTTTAAAAATTGTGATGTAAATTAGTCTTGTAGCGTTTATTTTGATGCAAATTTGTAACACTCCCTTATTTTGAAATACTTTATTGAAATCATATGTTGGGAACCATTTGAATGAAATTTTTATTATTCTCATTTTATTGTTGTCTTTAATTAATTGTTAACATTAAGTCGTGTTTTTAATCCATCACACTCTCTTTGCATTTAAAAAATCGAATTAAAGTATTATTGGTACTTGAAAATAACTTTTGTGGGATGATAACTTGAAATTTTTTTTTGTGAAAACTCTTTTATTATTTTTCAATGGATACACTTGCTTACGAAGAGTGTTTGCTATGTTTGTTGATACCAATTGTTGTTATAATTTCTATTGTTATCTTATTGTTCATAATATTACTAGACATTATAGATAATGAATATTTAAAAAATTATTAAGTATATATATATATATAATAAATTTTCTTAAAGTTATATTGAGAAACAAAAATTATTTTGTCGAATATTTTATTTTATCTTATTTAAAATAATAAAATTAGAAAACACATGTGTGATAATAGTTTTTAAATAAATAACTCCATTATTTGTATGTTATAAATTTGGACATACATTTTTCTAATAATTTTACAATAAAATGAAATAAAAAAGGTTTTAAAATCAAATTTTAAAAGAATAGCTTCGATCATAAATTCTCTTAAGCTTTTATTTTAATTAATTTGTCTTACTTCATACAACGATTTATAACGATAAAGTATAATTTACTCTATTATTCATATATTAAAAGGTCAAAAGTATAAAAACTTTTTTATGTTTTATTACTAAATAAATAACAAATTATTTTAACGTGAAATTCAAATGAAAATCATCAATTATAATTTTTTTTATATTTGTTTTTAAATAAAGTGTTTCTTTTAATCTAAATAACGATTTATGTAATCATTATCATTTATATGTTATAAAATTGTATGAGTATCAATTTAATTTCATTATCTTGTATTTTGTACATAAGAATTATCTTACATTTTATTTTAAAAAAATAAGTATTATCATAAATTTTTGTATTTAAAAAAATCAAAATCAAAATTTAAATTCATATAACGAATAATAATAATGTTGTATTGATAAATTTATCATTCACAAATTACATAATCAAAAAATTAAATTATTTATGTTACTTTTAGAAAGAAAAAAATTAAAAATATTTTTCTCTAAATTATTTTAAAAAATTGTTTTCTTTCGTAATTACATAACCCGAATTTTCAAATTATATTGGGGAAATCCATAGAAATAAGAATCAAA